TGAACACCAATTAGGAATAAATTGGCATGCTTATGTGATATTATGGTCAATATAACACATTATGTGATATATTCTATTCAGGAGATTCGAATACTTGAGGGTCAAGATTGTTATCAAATATTATAGACCTAAAGGCTACAAGTATTGGTTTAGATTTGTAGTTCTAGCGTAGAGTTCTAAGACTTGGACCAAGGGTTTGGGGTTTGGAGTACAAATATTTGAGTCATCTGATCACTTTCCAAATCTGATCACAGGTTAAAATTTTCAATCCTTAATTAGTTTAAAGCTCATAATTTAAAGTTTGAGTATGATTCTCTCTCCTCCTATTCTCCTTCTGATGCAGGGCGTAGCGGACAGAAACGAATTAAAATGATAGATATGATTGATAGGTAGGGTCCACTATCTCCTGGTGTGAGGAGATGCCTGAAAACCCTATAAACTTTGGTTCTAGTATCAACCTACAACGTAGACACTTGAAAGAACAAAGCAACAGATTCTTAAACAAGAGAAAGACACATAAAAACGAGTTTACAACTCAAATATCAATATGATAATTCAAACAACTTCTCCCCTTTTCTTTACAAATACACGAATTACTGATACATGCATCATTACTAGAGTTAATGAACTCATTAATATTAACCCCACTTAATCTACCCCACTAACATATATTTATTACATTAAATAAATATTGAATTATTACATAAAATTTAGTACTTTAGAACCCTTGTATTCCATGTATATCGACTGAATTTCAAAAGCCAAATGTATTGAATCTTCCGATGATCTTATTTCATGTCCTGCATCACCTTCCTTCTCTCCCCTCCTCTCACACTTTTCATTTTGTCTTTCTCTCTGTATAAAAGAAATTAATATAAGATGTTAACGTAATTTAATCGTGATCGTTTAAATAAGAGGAGATGGAAGATGAGTGAAAAAAAAGGGAGATAATCCTACTCCTTCAAACTTTGATAGTTTTATGTCCCAAAATGCTGAGCTCACACTCTTTAATTTTAAATACTAAAAAGAGACTCTCTCAAAGTGAGACTTTATACATTTTCTGTCATCTCATAATTTAATATTAATTTTCGTGCTAAAGTGATAAAACATTATAATAAAAATATGAAGTGATAGAAATTTACGAAGAATTTTACTTTTAAGAGAGCCTTTATTGCATTTATACTTCATGAACAAACATAAAGATAATATTTTTTTTGGGAATTGACCTAGGTGCCATATTGCATTCCAAAATTTACAAATAATTGTTTCCTACGTTTTGTTTGCTTTCCAAAACATAATTGGAGATGATGGAATTAACGTGGTTTTCGGAGACAGGAGCTATCACGGAGGTTGTGCTGGAAAAGCGTGATGCTACACGTGGCACGGGCGTCATGTGCAGTTTGTCATCGTCGTCGTCGGACATTGGGTCCACCTGGTAGTTGCCAGAGAATGGATGTCGAGGTTTCCTGTTGGCATATTTGACGATTTGTTGCTGAACTTATAAAAAGCTGTTAATTTTTTTTTAAATTTTAATTTTACCTGATAATTCTTTTGAACTTTTATAATTTGTCAACTTATTATTTGAATTATAATTTTAGTTGATTATTTGTACTTTTATAAATAGCTAATTTTTCAATAGTGTTACATTTTAAAAAATTTCATCTGATTTTGCATCCATCTTGATCACGAAAACAATTGAATGAAATTTTTTAAAATCTAACATTGGGGGAAACTATGTACAAAAATTCAGGGGATAATCGGTTAAAATTCATGACACACCCCAACCTAGGAAGGTCGAAGCATGCTGGCCATCACCATGAGGTGACGTAACCATAAGGTTAAGTGATGTGAAAAAATGGATAAATTTAAAACAAATTAGAACTAATTATACTAAACAATAAAAGAGTGCGCAATTGTGGGAATAACCCACTACAATTATTCAAAGCATAATAGACAGTACGACTATCGTAGAGTAGTCAAAGTAGCTAAGTACAATTATTACACAACAGTGGATAAGTTCATACTTCTAAACCAAGGAGAATGTCAGAATTGCCGAGATTCCTCGAATGCCACAAAGAGTACAGCTATCTAGGTTCTGGAGGGGCGAAAAACAAAGTTGAATGGGTTAGCAAAACAATGCTTATACGAAAACCTTTATTTTCGAATATAGTAACCCCTTGCCGTAAAATAAGTATAGTTTTCTTAAAACATACTACGTTGGTATGTAAACAACAACAACAACAACAATATAACCAGAAATATGTCAGGTCATGATATTTCAATGCCACAGTAATCAAAATCATGTGATGATCAAGTATAGCTAAATGCTCATCCATCTAAGTTGACACACGAGTTCAAATAGAAAATCTCTGACATGAACAAGACTGGGTGTAATCAATATGTTGTAGTACTACGATCATGTGAAGACTGGTGCAAAAGCAAGGTCACATATAAGTCAGATTGCATAATGCAATTTGCCCTACATGACTGGCGCCTAACTTGGATCCAAGGTAAGCGAACGGTGCGATGTGAACATACACGTGAAGGACTGGGCTTGGCCCTGGGGCGAGTACTAACACCGGTGCAGCAAGATGAGCATGTACAAATATGTATGAATGTCATGACAGTAATATCCCAAACATATAGCAGCATTTATCACATTTAATATCACAATAACAAATACTTAGCAATATAAACGTAAAAGTGGAGTAACTACGCATTTAGGGAAACTATAAATATGTATAGGTATAAAATAAACTGCCCACTCACAAGTACGCCATGGGGTTGTAGCCCCCGAACCTAGCCTGGCCCCGTAAGTCATCGAGATACGTTTCCTTTATATGTGAAATAACTATAATAGGATTAATTAAAGCACATATACGGAAACTTAAATAAAACCCCCATAGTTTGCTCAAACCTAGGGTTTAAATACATGAAATCGATCTACTCGACGTCACGAACCTACACAAATTTTCAGATAAATTTTTGGACCCTGCACACACCCTCACGCGCTAGCCAAGGCATGGCCATACGCCATTAGGAATATTCTGTTAAAACCTTAACAGAGATTAACAACGTTACCTAACGCCGTTAGAATATTCCGTCGACTTTGATGAAATATTCCCTGACTTCTCCGATGAGCTCCATCATCCACCGTCTGCAACTCGAATCTCATTGGTTTCTAGAAAAATTTTAAACTTGCATAACTTATTCATTTCTCAACCATTTTTGACCTACTTTATATGGATTTGAAGCTTATGAAGAGTAGAATCACGTTATACCTTTTTGGAGTCCAAAAAGTGGACGGAGGTGGTTGGAAATCACCTCGAAAGTTCCAGCCAAAAGTGAACTCCTCGAAACTCGGTTGTTTCAACGTTGAAGCTTCTTCAAAATTGTCCTAGAGGTCTCAGAAAGTTGTGGGAAAGCTTCCTCGACCTTCAAAACTCCTTAACTCGGCCTAAAATTTGATGAACTCAAACTCATTGAGTTCGGACCTTCCGAGTTCGACGTCCAAAACTCGGTCAAACTAAGGTTGGTCGGTATAGTTGAGTTTGTGAAAATGAGATGAACGTAATGGTGAGGTTTTTAAGCTCGATCTACGAGTTTTGGTGCTCGTTCATGGCAGTTACAGAGAAAGAGAGCTTCGGGAGGTAGAGAGAGAACTTTTTCTTTTGCTTTTCTGATTGGGTGCCGTGAGGAGGGAATGGATGGGATTGGTGAGAGATTTGAGGCAGTTGATTGATGAGGGAGTGAAATAATGGGGAGTGCACGGGCTGGCTTTAAAGAAAACCAAGGATAGGGGTTAGATTTTGTATAGAAAAGAGAATCGAAAATCTATTCGAAATAGTGTTTTCACACTGATAAAAGTTCTCGTACTCTCGCAACAACGTGTACAATTTAAAAGCGATAGCGAGGAATAAAATAAAAGCAATATAAACACGTCCACGTCACTTGCCTACAAGGGCATACGGGAAGAAATTTTATAGAAAATTAGGGACAAGTCGTCACAATTCAAGTTCAAGAAGAAAATTGGTTAATTAAAAGGTTCAAGAGGGTAACTGGCTAAATAGGGAGAAAATTAATAGCTGTATACAAGTTCATGAGACAAATAAGCAAATTCCTTTTCTTGTTTATAGTTGAGAGAACGCTTATGTGATGCTTTTGACCTTTTTTCCCAAGAGGATCCTTGTCGAATATCCTACGGTCATAAATCATTGTAATTTTTTTTATTTAAAATTGAATATAAACAGTGTCTGATAAAAACTAATCATACGATATACAATGAATAAATGTGATTAGAAGATTTCAAACTCCGCACAAAGAAAATCCGGCGAGGATCCTCTCTTCTTTTTCCCTTCTCAATGACATTGTCGGTTTGAGCTTCATTTATTCCTCCAGCGGCCAGCCTGTCACCTTGTTTTCATCGATAAAACTTTTATGAATATTTACTGACATTTTTCTTCGTTTTTGACTAATAAGTAAATAAGGAAATAAGTAATGGCAAAGTAAGTAAATAAGGAAATAATTAAGGTATTCCCTTTCAACAAAAAATATAGCCGAATTGAAATGTAATCACCCCTAATTGTATGAACTTTGTAATCCAATGTGAAATTATCATTAAACTTCCATGAGTAAATAGAGATCAAATTTTCTACGTTTGGTGTAACTTTCATGTGAATATCATTTAATTGATCAAATTTTCTTTCGTATTTATTATCTTAATTTTTTTCTCAATTTGAATATCATCTAGTTGGTCTAAAAACAGAAACTCGGCGTGAGTTCAACCCAACACGCTAATCTAACGTTTGTATTTTTTGACAAAAAAAGAAAGAAAAAACTCCAAAGGAAATTTGGCGCAAGTATTTAACCGCCACCAGGCGAACCGCGGCGTTACACTAGGACGAGGTCGTTGACACTTGGCAGCTTCGTAAAATCGATTGCGGAGTATGGACAAATTCGTCTTTCAACACCGGCGCCACTAAATCCTAGCTCTTCAGCCTCTTCTGGCGTGGCGTGTGCGATTGGGATGGAGAGAAGAGAGAGGAGAGAGAGAGTGTGTGTTTGCTTTGCTCAAACAATGCACGCACAAATAACACCGAAGCAGTGAGAGAGAGAGAGAGAGTGCGTGAGTGGGAGTTTTCCATCAGAGCTCTCTTTCTATCTATCTATTTATCTCTCTGCCCAAAACCTTCCAAAATCCACACAGAACCAGAGGAGAGAGAGAGGAGAGAGAGAGAGGAGGGGAGAAGAAAGAAGAAACAGAAGAAGAAGCTCGTTCCCGCAAAGCAATGCCTGCAACGCCCAATATCCGAATGCCCCTTTCTCCTCGTCGCAGATTTTTGACGTTTCTTTTCCGTTTCATGCAATAAATACGCGAAGAAAAAGCCCTCAAAGTTGCTCAAAATTACACCCCCACCTGTTTGCAGAGACAAGGTGAAGCAAACGCTCATCGCCTCCGTCCTCGCTCTCATTTGCATTTTCCATTTTTTATCTTATTTATCTGATTGAATAGCTTTAAAGCTTTTGCTGCAGTGCTTTTCTCTTTTTGAAAATTAGTAAAGAAAAACCGACCGGAAGCTGAAGAACGGCGGCGAAGAACAGTGAGTTGACGGCGATACATTTATATTCCTTTGCAGTTTTTTTATATAATTTTTTATTTAATATTTTTGGTCGCTTTTGTTTATTTGAGCGTTGAAAAAGCGAGTCAATAAGCGTAAATGCAAAAATTGGAGATTTCATTATCTGATTTTTTGCGTCTTTTTTTTTCTGCAGTTGAAATGCGCACTCAATTGCTCCGAAACCTGAAGATCTCAATCACAATGCGATTCCGTAGCTGAAAATCCTGCAAATTTCGCCGAGATTTTCAATTTTTGGGCAATTTTTCAGAGCAATTGCTGCTTTAGAACTTGAATTTGGTTCATGTTTTTGTTTAATGTCAAACTGAAGTGATTATAGTGAATGAGATCTGTATCTGTGATCCAGTGAAGTGTTTACAAAAAAGCTGAAAAGTCGAGGTTTAGTGCTTTCGGAGAGGCGAAAATGGCGTCGTGGGATCACTTGGGAGAAATTGCAAATGTGGCTCAGTTGACGGGCCTAGACGCTGTGAGGTTGATTGGACTGATAGTCAAGGCGGCAAACACGGCGCGAATGCACAAGAAGAATTGCAGGCAATTTGCACAGCATTTGAAGCTGATCGGGAACTTGTTGGAGCAGCTGAAGATCTCGGAGCTTAAGAGGTATCCGGAGACAAGGGAGCCTCTGGAGCAGCTCGAGGAAGCTCTGAGGAGGTCTTACATTTTGGTCAATAGCTGCCAAGACCGGAGCTATCTGTATTTGCTTGCAATGGGATGGAACATTGTGTACCAGTTCAGAAAGGCTCAGAACGAAATTGATAGATACTTGAAGCTTGTGCCTCTGATTACTCTCGTGGACAACGCTCGAGTCAGGGTATTGAACTTTTCGGATTATTGTTTGTTTGTTTGTTTTTTTTTCGTTTTTCATGTTATTGTTATTGGTTTGGTAATTATTATTATAATTACGGTTCTTCGTTTGCTTTGTGGTCTAATTGATGAGTGTGTGTCGCAAGAGGAATTTGTGATCTTCCTTGAAATTGGATATTATAGTTTGATTGTCCTTGTTTTGGTGATTACGCGGCATCTAACCTTCGTTAAATTTCTCCTGTAATTGTTATGCAAGAAAAGGTTCTAATTGTCGGAAGTCTAATTTATTCATCTTTAGGTAAGCCATCTTTAGGAATTAAGCAAACGGAAGTAGTTTATATGAAGTTTTTCATTGTTAATGATTTATTTTATTTACTAAGACTTACTTTTGTTTTTCAGTGATATATAAAATGACAAGGATTGGGCTCTGAACCACATATAGGATTATCGAATCTATACTTTAAACTAAAGTCTTAAGAATTTGTAATTATGAAATACAATTACCATTATCTTTCTTCATTAACAAGCACGTAAACTCCATTTAACTTTGCTTTGCCTCCAGATTTACCGTAATCTGCATATTGGCCCATATGTAAAAGTAGACTAAATTAATTGCCTAAGATTGTACTTAGCTGTTCCTGCCTTTCTATTAACGGTTTAACAGGATTTAAGTTCATTCATTCTGCTCTTCACTACAGGAGAGATTGGAAGACATTGAAATGGATCAACGTGAATACACGTTGGACGATGAGGACAGAAAGGTACAGGACGTGATCCTTAAACCAGACCCCTCAAAACATGACACTGTAGTACTGAAGAAAACACTTTCTTGCTCCTATCCGAACTTAGCTTTTAATGAGGCACTCCAAAAGGAAAATGAAAAGCTTCAACTTGAACTACAACGGTCGCAAGCTACTTATGATGTGGATCAATGTGAAGTAATTCAGCGTTTACTGGAAGTGACAGAAACCGTAGCTGCAAATTCTTCCCCCGAAAAAAGTAGTAAGAAAGTAGAGCGGAGTCAGTCAGATGCCAATAATGAGAAAGATCATTCATCTAATGAAAGCTATCAAAAAAGTGAATCTCGCAAAACTTCAAGGTTAGTTTTCTGTATGTTTTGTACATCTGTAATTCTATGTAGTTATAGCGCCATTTAAAATTTAGTGTTGCAATTGGTGAATGTAACAATGGTGATGCATAGGCTAGTTTCATACTTGGAGCTTCTCAACATTGATTGATCTCCGTCAGTCAGATATGTCTGATGAGCAGAGATATACATGTCATTATGCAAGGGATTCTGATTTTCCCATGTCTGTGTGCAGCTCACATCGCTGTACTTCTTGGGGTCTTTTGCATATCTGATGTGACGATTTGTATATGCAGAAGCACGTCTTCGGTTTCTTCTGGACATGATTTGTTGTCAACTAGAGGTTCACACCGGCATGAAGAATGGAATACTGATCTACTTGGATGTTGCTCAGAACCATTTCTGTGTAAGTTCTTTATTCTTTTAGTCTGGTGACTGGAATTGATAATCAAAATGTTATAATGGATTAGGGTGCCTTTACTTTAGCTTTCATGCTCCACATGCTTCTGTATGCTTGACGAGATCTAGCAGTAAGATTCTGCTCCTTTTTTTCTTCTTGTCGTGTATCTCATACTGTGCGTCTGTTCTTGAAACTTGCCCCAGGTAATGAAGGCAAGGGATAGGTCTAATATTTTATAATCAAATAGTACCATTCAATCCAAACAGGAAGGAAATGTCAAAAAATTAGGGCTACAGTTTTATTTAAGAATATTTGTTAGTCTCAATATTACTATAGTTTTATTAGTAGTTTAGACATGTCAATTTCAATTAACATGACTAAAAAATGGGGTTGTTCGGAGTTGATTACAAATTGGTCCTGTTGGCTTATCCTGCTGGGCTGAGTGTAATCTTCCAAAACCCATTGCCTCTGCTTATAATAACACCAGTTAACTCAAGCTTCAATATTCTCTCACTCCATCCACTCATGCACATGCAATGCACGTGTTAAGATGATTTTTATTTCGGATATGGTTTTTTTCATGAGTCTAGGGTGCATCACAAATTAAGTTCTGTGATATGTATAATATTGCTTTCATATAAATGTCATATAATCAAGGTTGGGGTGGTCAAACATTACAATCATTAGACACAGAAGAGTTACATCATCCCCTATACCAAGTGATTAAAGGGAAAATTGTGCTGTGCATGCTAAGGTTTTGGCGATTATTTTCTTTGCAGGTATAAAGACATTCTTCTATCCTTGTGGGACGTTTTCAAAAATTGCTTCTGTGGCAACTAACAGGCCTATTTGTAAGTTTTCTCCGGATTATCTAAGCCTGGTTAATCCGTTTTTATATGTTATACTTTTAATGTATCCTCAAAAGCTTAGGAATGGGTAAATAATGTATATCAAGCTTGCACCCGCTCACATGCATCCCCATTATGCATGTGGAGTGGCAGACAGAAAACATAGGTGTGTAGCCCCATTCTGCCTCACTGTCAGTTAAAATATAACTGAGTGATGGGGGATGAGAGACTTTGAACCCAAAACCGCTTAGTTCAAAGCTCTTAACGTAATTCAGACTGCCACCATGTCCCGAAAGTTAGATAATGTGCGTACAGGCTAATCTATATCAAGCTAACAACGATGGGCTGGTTGCAGTTACACATTAGAAAGATTGACAGCCTATTTGATGAGGCTGTATCTGAATGCTCTTTGGCATTTGTTTCAAGTCTTGTACTTTCACAGTACAGAGTTTAAGGTGATTGACTTGTGATAGCATTATTTTTGTGGTGGACAGTGATTTTGAATGTTCAGTTGATTTTATTTTGGGAGTATTTTTATGGCTCGTCAAGTGCATACATAGACTGTTCCGTTACTTCTAGATATGCCCCATGTTTCACATTATTTCCTCACTTTCTATGGTTAAATTAAGTTGCAATGGTGCGTTTCTTTTTGGCCGTGGCAATATTGACATTCTATGCATGCCCTTTCTTATACTGTCGGAAACTCATAAATTCTTTTTGATGATTATCAGCTTCAGCAGAAGCATGTAATGAATTGATGGCTTATTCGCTAGTATTGTCATGCTGTTGCTATACCTGCTGCATTAGAAGGAAACTTCGCAAGACGTTGAATATCTCGGTAATTCCTTTCCCATTTTCCTCGCTTGAAGTAAAATCATAGTATCTTCGCGACTGCATGGTTTGATCTCGTAGGTTCTGGTATATTGAGACATGAGATGAATGCACTGTAATTCTCCTCTGTCGTGTTTCGTGTTATATATAGAAAATGCATTACCAAGCACATGAACCAAACAACATGATCGTTTTACTGTGATAGATGTGACTTTGGTTCGATAGCTCCACATTCTAATATGTCATAATCCAACATGAGGAACCAACATTTACCGTGATAAACCTCCGTTCTTTGGCAGGGCGGCTTTATTGATGACTTCCTTTCACATTTCATGTGTTGCTGCTGTGCCCTTGTCCAAGAATGGCGAGAAGTCGAAATACGTGGGGTTCATTATGGTAAGTGCCCCATATGCTTCAAACTTGTGTATACCACAGTATGCAGTCTCTAACATAAGGCCGATCACTAATCCTAAACCGATATGCAAATTGTTTGATATAAACCAACTTGCAGGTGCCGAGAAGACAAAAATAAGCCCCCCAACCTCACAGTACATGGAAACCTGAATGATGAGGAAAGCACCGTTCCGTCTTTTCGAGATTCATCTACTTCGAAAGCCATACGCAGAGGTAATGGCTAGTTGCTAGGTTACAGGAAGCTAATTTTGGGAGCTTATGCCTCATTAATTTTCCCATATGTAAATTAGCTTTTCCTCCTTTTTTTTTTTTTAAAAAAATTAAATTTTCTGACTCAGCACATTTTTAAAAAAAAAATTAAATTTTCTGACTCAGCACATTCTGTATCATAGATACTTTTTTGCCGTTGGAAAGTAGTGTTCTATATGATGATTGTTTTATTTTCCTTCTTTCATATATAAAGTAGCTTTTTCTATGTTTTAGCAATTGGGGTTTGATGGATCCACCATGCATGCATCATGTGTGTGGTTGCTTAAAGCAGCAAGGAGATGAAGTGTACATTTGCAGGTTGTTAGGCCCCGTTTGGTATGTGTGTGTGTGTATATATATATATTTTTTTTTCACTAAAAACTGCTTAACTTTAAAGTTAAGCATTAAAAATGTGTTTGCTAAAAGTAAAATATCGTGCTTATTTTAAAAGCAATGGTTTCCAGACAACAGCTTTTAAAAGCAGCATGTAGGTTGCTTTTAAAAGCTGCTTTAATAAAAAACAGAGTTGGGTCTTTAATAATATTTTTCAATTGTTGTAATACCTTCATTAATTTTTTTAAATGACATTGTTTAGCCTTTCATACACATTATATCCCTTAGAGAATAGAGTAAACGTTACCACTTACCACTACAAATACTGACATTTATCACTACCACCATCATAACCACAATCTCCACTATTGTCATCACTACCATCATTGTCACCACCATTACCGCAACAGCCACCATTACCACCACAACCACAACTAACATTACCACTATCATTGCCGCCACCGCCGACACCACCATAACCGCAACCGCCACTGCCCTACCACCATTGTTACCTTTCCACCCCAACCAACACATCCCACTATTAGCACCACCATCACCTCCACCGCATCCACCACCACCACCATTACCATCACTGTTGTCGCCCCCACTCCTACAATTATGTACATTTGTCATTTAATACGATTATATCACTTTTACATTAAATTTTACCAAACGCTTTTGCGTTGCTTTTCCTACTCACAATACTTTTAAAATTCAATTAACCAAACGCTCATCAACTTTATTTTACAACTGATTATTTTTAAAACATAACAAAAGTAGTTTTTTAAAAAAGCATGGTAATCCCAAACTGGTCCTTAGTGGACCCAAGTATCACAACAACTCCACCCATTTCATTTTCATCAGAAACTGTATTGCAGGCGTGTGTGGGGAGAGGCTAGATGAGACTCGTAGCTAGTTGCCTTTATTTGGTACTATCTTTTGGCAGGACACAAGTAGGTTTATGTGGGTCAGTGTGTCAATACATTTTGCGGTTTACATGGCCTGTTTTTATATGACATAATTATACATGTATCATGACGTTCCTTACCTATGAAATAGCGTTGTGCGGATAAAAATATGACATTAGAATCACGAATATAATATAATCAAATCAATGTAAAATAGAGAAGAACTTATCTTTAGAATACGAAGAAGAGGTTGGTGGTGAAGAATTATGAATTGTCTTTTACTCTCTACAATCTAAATGCTCTGACTAGAGAATAGGGTTTAGCATTGAAGTGGGGTGTGTATTATGAGAGCAGTGACAATTTTTACATAGTTGCTAGGATATCTCTCAATCAAGCTTGTTATTAACAATTTTTATATAGGCTTGATTGAGAGATATTCATAATCACCATCATATATGTTATGTCATACAATAATAAGTCAAACCAAATAGGATTACGTAATTGGTTAATCATATTTAAGACTATTATTATTTCCACATTGGGGGTGCAAGATCATTCGAATGCCAAGTTACTTATATAATAAGTTACTTGAGACTTAAGTGATCTGATTGATAAGTGTTTGATACTTATAATAATTTTTACAAGTACAAATGTACCATTACATCCCCTTCCAAATAACACCATGCGGATAAAAACTTACACATATCTTTATTTTATTGAAAAGGAACGCCACGATGGTAGATGTATTTGTGCCATATAAATACTTAGACTGAAATTGAGTTCATCCAGCATTTGCTCCTCCACTGTCTGGCAATCAAATATGAGGATAAAGACCACTTGAAAATGTTATACTAATTCAAAAGGAATGGAATCATTTAATTTCTGTTTATAATTTTTTTTTTAGGTAAATTACATAAAACTACCTCAACTATTGGTCTTACGACACTATCATACCTCATCTTTTAAAATTGACAATGTCATACCTCATCTTACGAATTTGGTCCAATGTCAGACCTCCGTCAGTTTGTCTGTTAATTTTTCTGTTAAATGTTGACCTGACTTGAGACGGGACCTATTTCCCGACCAAGTGGATAAAAATATTAATAAATTAAAAATAAATTATTTTAATATTTTTATTTTAAAACATGTGGGACCCATCCCCTATAATTCTCTCCCTTTCTCCTCTTTTTCTTCCTGATCCGTTCCAACCCTCCATTTCTTCCCTTTCTCCATCCGTTCCCTCTCTCTCTCTCTCTCTCTCTCTCTCTCTTTCTCTTTCTCTCTCTCTCTCTCCTATCTCTCTCACCTTCACCTACGCCTTTATTCTTCACCCTCACCTTCATCCATTCTTCACCTCCATTTTTCACCTTCTTCCTTCATCCATTCTTCACCGTTTTATTTAAAAAAATTTGGACAAAAAAAAACCTAGATTTTTTTTTTTTTTGGCAGCGGCAAAGGAGGCCCTGACAACAAGAAGTTCAGGTACTGCGGCGTGTGTCAGCGGAGCTGGGGCAAATGGGTAGCTGAGCTCCGCGAGCCGCGTAAACACACTCGCAAGTGGCTGGGGACCTTCACCACTATCGAGGATGCTACCCGCGTCTACGACCGGGCTGCCATCATCCTCTACAATTCTAGAGCATAGCTCAACCTCTAGCCCTCCGGTTCCTTGTCCCAAAACTCCACACGTGGCTCCTCTTCTTCATCCTCATCGTCTAGCTCCTCCACCGAAACCCTAAGACCCCTTCTCCCTCGCCCTCCGGCTTCGGCCTTACTTTTTTTTTTAAGTTTTAAATTGTAGATTGTCGTTGCCCAGAGAGAGAGAGGAGAGAGTGGGTGGTGGAGGAAGGTTAGGGGGACGAGTGAGGAAGGGTTTGGTGGCTTGAAGGAGGAGGATTTGGTGCAGAGGAGGTGGGTGAGAGATGGATTCGGATCAGGAAGAGGAAGAAAAAAGGAGAAAGGGAGATAATTGTAGGGGTGGGTCCCACATGTATTTTGATTCTTAGGTGAGTTTAGAGGATTGAGTTTGGGGGGAATTGGGGTTTTCTGTTTGAAATTGGGGAATTAGGGTTAGGGTTAGGGTTTGGTTTGAAGATCTTCGAAAGGGAGGGGGTTCTGGAACAGAAAGAGGGACAAAGGTAGGGGACAGGAAAAGGTGGGTGTTGGGGGCTGCGTGGAGAATTGCAGATGAATAAAAAGGAGGGGGTTCTGGGATTTTGGGATGCAGATGCCCAGAGAGAGAAGAGAGAGAGGCAATAAAGAAGGTTGGAACGGATCAGGAAGTAAAAATGGAGATAATTTTAGGGGTGGGTCCCACATTTTAAAATAAAAATATTAAAATAAATTATTTTTATTTTATTATATATTTAATTAATATTTTTATCCACTTGGCTAGGAAATGGGTTCCGTCTCAAGTCACGTCAGCACTTAACAGAGAAATTAACAGAAAAACTGATGAAGGTTTGACATTGGACCAAATTCGTAAAATGAGGTATGCCGTTGTCAATTTTAAAAGATGATGTATGATAGTATCGTGAGACCAATAGTTCAAGTAGTTTTTTGTTATTTACCCTTTTTTTTTTAAGAGTTTTAATGAAACACTCATGGTACTGTTCACTTTTAACGAAAAACCACATTTTTACCTTTCTCTGGTAATATTCACTACACATTTATTTGTCTTTTTTCTTTAAAACTAAAGTTTTTTTGAACTTTTCATTAGTTTTTTTTTTTTAATGAAACCAAAGCTATTAAATAAAACTCTACGACTTAAATTGACATAAAAAATTGATACTTATAATACTATTGAGTCTTGATACAATGACTTTCATTGCTAAGTCATACAAAAAAAAAAAGGAAAACTAATGAAAATTGGCTTGAAAACTTTGAGTTTTAAGGATAAAGGGTAAAATGAACAGTACCATGATTAACTTTTTAGTGTAAAAATATGATTTTTCGTTAAAGTAAACAGTATCGGAAACTTTTTGTCAAAGTTTCAAAAAAAAAAAAAAAACATAATTACTCTCACTTGTGGCAAAATTTTAAGCATAACCGGTTTGCAATTCTACTCTCTTATTATGTGATAAGAAGAAAATAGTGAAACGATTACACCCAAACACTACTCTTGGTTTAGTGGATGGAAGTCAAACTTGACCCAAGAGAACGTTCTTCCTTGTGTAAATTGTATCTCACTACTCACTATCTCTTCATGGCTGTAAAGGAAGAGATTAATAATACTAACCTAATGCGTTATAGGTATCGACCTTTTGCGGAAAGTAAGCCCAACATTTTTCTAAAATGCAACGAAGCTTTTGTTTTATTTTTTTGTCAAACAATAAATTTTATTAAATTAGATATTAGATTAACCACTGATGAGATTCAAACCCACGCTGTTATGTAATAACTCAACTCCTTTCTATCACTGTAGTAAATGATCACTTGCCGCAACAAAATCTTGAATTTCTCCAAACTAAATGGTTGAATTTAAATACTAAAATCTGAAGCGTTGAATACTACAGGACATTGTAGTCACAACCAAGGCCTGCTTTTCCTTTGGCACGAAGGCACCTAGGCCCTATGATTGCACAAAAAGCAGTTGTATTGCACAACTCAAATAATTGAGCTCAATTTTGTAGCACGAGAAACGCCTTTCTTCCCAACAAGACCCTTTCTGGATTCTTTTGACGAATGTCTTGAGAATTTGTGAATTGTGTTCGTTCATCATATATTATACGGTCAGTTTTTATCAAGTAATGTTTGTGTTTAATTTTAAATAAAAATATTTAAAATAATTTCTGACTACACAATATACGATGAACAAACAAGATTAAAGAATTCCCGTAATCCTCACAAAGGGATCTGGCGAGGATCCGAATTCCTTTTCTTCATCATTTTATGCATGGCATACATGCATTAGGCGTCCCCACTTCTGGTTTATTATATTGCACCACTTCTCATTGTAGTCTCTTTAAGCTTATCTCTAGTAATTGTTTTGACATAAAGATTTTCTAAAGAATAAGAATTTGAGTTAAGCAAATGAGCCAGTTATAATTAGATCACAACGCTGATTAGTTGATCGTTAAAAGAAATTGAACTATTATAATTATAAATATTAAAATTAAAGATAATAAAGTTGATCCAACAAATGTTAATGAGTCGAGTTTTGACTTATATAGTAATTGTAGCCTCCTTTAGAAATCGGTCGAGACTGGAGAATAACTCCTTTCGATGTGCAACAAATAAACAATTTGTGTGATAGCAATTTCAAGAATTTTTTTTCTTATCTTTCTTATGTGGGATTGAAGCTAGGCCTAGAAATTTGATTCAAACCTAACATATATCACTTCCTATCTATTTCTTTGTGTGCTCAATTATTTTGGGTTTTTTTTATTAGCATCCCACAAAAGATTCAATGCACCCCACATTCAAATGTAATATTAAGTGACTTATGTAACCTACTATATAATGACAATTTCAACCTTATAAGGTTTAAAGAAAACTAGCATTTGCTTACACACTTTGTATGTATGAACACATTTTTTTTTAGAAAATGAGAAGGTGAGAGAGGAAGCGAGAGAACGTGAGCCGGGGGGGGGGTGAGAGGTTTTTGTTTTAGGCTTTTATTTTTATTTTTTTATATAATATTGGATGTATTTTAACATCACCCGTGGGTGAGGTTTCAATAAAAAAATAGTAAAATTTGGACCTGTGAAATTACATTATTGCCCATCATTTTTTTTTGTATGATAAAAGACTAATTTGTCTTTTCACCCTCTTTTGGTTGACAAAAAGGGTTTCATTAATTAGTAGAGATAAGAAATTTCTAAATACACCCCATATTACTTTTAATGTATTACTTATCTTTTTCAACTATCAAAACCCCTATTACCCTCCACTCCATTGTTGAATAATATTCTAACTATAGAAACTATAAACACGTTGATTGAGGAAAAAAATTTAACAAATGGAACACAATATCAATATTTCGGAAGCTTCACATGAGGTAAAATTTCATATCTGTCATTGTTTTAATTATTCAATGACATCGGTAATTATTTAAGATTGCTTTTACTTTCTATACTACCCAATTTCATAGGAGGCCAACCCAGCAATGCCTTTTCCATTTTTATTCATCTTCTGGGGTTTACTTTTGCTCTGTTAGGTTCATCTCAGTTGCCATTTTTAACAGAAATCATTTTTTGTTATCAAAAGACTTACGAGATAAAGAAAAGGAGATTGGCTATGATGACCCAATGAAACTCAAGCTCAACAGACCGGATTGTAGACTTCTCTTTTTAGAGAAGGTTAAGGTTTTAATCCTAAGTCAATTTAATTTATAAAAATTGAAATTGAAGATTTGAAGAATGTGGAATGTATAGAAAATGTGGGGTGTATGTGGAAAATATTAGTGGCGTGTTTACATAACCGTAATGAAAATAGGAGGAATTGAATTGAGGAGGAGTTGGAATGAGAAGAAGTCAGAATCGGATTCCTGTTGAAGTTGTTTACTTAAATGTTCTGGAATCGGAATATAAATAGTGGGTTTGTTGTGTGCAAACTTGAAAGTTTAAAAATATCAAGAGGGCATAATAGGTAGAAAAAATGTACTCCCATTCACTCCCTCATCCGGAATTCAAATACCACACACATCTAAGGAGTTCGATTCCTCCATTTTGGGGAATCCGATTCCAGATTTTTTGTGGGCCCTACTTACTTTTCCATTCTCTAAATGTTAGTAAACGCTGGAATGCTTCGGAAGAAATGCGATTCCGTTTCTTTTCACTCCATTCCCGTTTGATAAACATGCTATAGGTGTATGAGAATGCGGGATGCAAGAGTATTATGAGAAAGTATGTGGGGTGTATTAAGATAAATTTTAATTGAAAAAGTAAATGTGGGGTTTAACCAACAATATATGAGATGTTAATAGAATAAGCCTTATTTTGTTCAACTTCCTATTACCCTTCTTTGTGTTTTTTTTTGGGTAATTTTGACATGGACTATATATTTGAAGCATATTTTGTAAAGTATATGTCGCCCTGAAAAAAATTGGTTTCCATATAAATTGCGTAACATACCTCTCACTCTCACCCCTCCACGCCTCGTTTTTATTATTCTTTCCCGTGCGAAATCAAATTCTCTCACTACAACCAGAAACCAAATCTCTCTCTCTAACCACTTCGAGTTTTTAAAGCGGCGTCGTTTCGAGGCCATCGTCATCACCGTCACCAACCATGTCGTCGTCGTCGAAGAAGATCACCCTCAAGAGCTCGGACGGCGAGTCGTTCGAGGTCGAGGAGGCGGTGGCGCTGGAGTCGCAGACCATCAAGCACATGATCGAGGACGATTGCGCAGACAACGGCATTCCTCTGCCCAATGTCACCAGCAAGATTTTGGCCAAGGTCATCGAGTACTGCAAGAAGCACGTCGACGCCGCTAAGCCCGACGAGAAGATCTCCGAGGACGATCTCAAGGCCTGGGATCAGGAATTCGTCAAGGTTGACCAAGTTACGCTCTTTGACCTCATTCTGGTATGTTAAAACCCTAATTTAACCTTGAATTTTGGTTTAATTCTTGTTCGCGATTGCTTGGTTTGATTCTAGGGTTTCAGAATTTGGGGATTCGGTTGGGTTAGGGTTTTTGATTTGGGGATTGGGGTCAATTGTGTTGTTTTAGGGCCTAGGGTTACTGGTTTAGGGATTTTCCATGATGGTTTGGTATGATTTAGGGGTATTTATAGGTTTCTGTGAATTTAAATTGGTTGATTTTGTTGTTTCGTTACTGATGGCTCATCTTGATATCTAATTACTGTGCCTGTTCCGTTTATACTTAAATTTGTGTTTTGCTTATGTTTGACGTTGAGATAAAGAGCGATATGTTTGCCTTTCGTTTACGTGTCTTGCTTTCTTGTTCAAGTTGAGATTAAGTTTGCTTATTTGAGAAGGTGAATCCTTCTGCAACATCGGTGCTGTGTTAGTTTGTGGAAGATTAACTAGTTTCGTATGCAATGTCATTGTCCACTTTGGTGGTGATACGGACTCTTTTCTTATGAGAGAAGCAACCACTTCTTTGCAGGAATTTTTTTTAGTCCTCTGCGGAAGTACAATAACTTGAATCCCTAGAGAAAATAGGCAATTTGGAATGGTACAGCAACCAAAAGACTATTATTGGCTATGACCCTAAGGGTGTGTTTGTTGCACTGGACCATCTCGGATTGGACTAGCTTCAGGGACTAAGCTGGACTAACTTAGACTAGACTAAGCTGGACTAACTTAGTGAAGCGTTTGGTGCAGTGTCGGACTAAGAAGCTAGACTAACAGTATATTATAATAATAATAATTATTATTATTATATTTTAATTTCTTTTCTATTAAAAATATCAATATGGAAAAAATGGCATCTTCTTTGCAAATTGTTGGAGCTCGTGGGTTATCCGATTGAAGGTCGAATCTAAGGTCTCATTTATGATTCTGGGCTCAAGGTGAGGAGGGAGAGAGAGAGAGAGAGAAGATTGGTGGTGGTTTGGACTGGTGGTGTGATCTTGCCAGAGTTTGGTGAGTGTAGGACGCAACGCGAAGAAGAGAGTAGAGAAGGATGCGACGCGAAGAAGAAGAACGCAGCGAGGGTCTTAGCAGTCCCATGGTATTTGGGGGGTCTCGCTACGACCCTTCAGTGAGAAAGTAAGTGAACACAAGTCCTTATCAATCCCATTAAACATAGTCCCACTATGTAACAAACACAAGGACTGCACTAATGAGTAGTCCAGTTTAGTCCATTGAAGGCTAGTGAAGCCAAACAAACACACCCTAATAGACTAAGTAGGGAACAAAACATGAGGAAAGAAGTACAGCTAATACTATTGTCGGTTTAATTAGGTTATGAATGTATTGCGTGATCATTTGCAGAAACTAGAGTAATTTGATATGGTTGTTTTCATTCTTTCTGTGGGTGGCTGATTGTCGAAACTGACATTAATTATGTTTTTCTAATATATGGTGATATTGGTATTGACACTGACAGGCTGCAAACTACCTGAACATCAAGACCCTTTTGGACCTGACTTGCCAGACGGTTGCAGACATGATCAAGGGTAAGACTCCGGAAGAGATCAGAAAGACCTTCAACATCAAGAACGACTTCACCACGGAGGAAGAGGAGGAAGTTCGTCGTGAGAACCAGTGGGCGTTTGAATGAAGTTCTCGGTGATGTCTCTTTAGTGGGAACTTAAAGAGCTGGCATACCTATTATGTATTTTAGTTTATCTGCCGACTTCTTTATTATTCTGTGTTTTTACGTGCTTTATCGGAGTCGTGAAGTCCTTGAATTGTAGATAAAAGTTGGATTCTGGTGTTGGTGGTTGTTCTTACTGTGTCAATGCCACTGTCAGTTTTACTCTATCTGAATTACAATCTTCTACTTCCATTAAGTTGTTTCTGTGGTTTGAATCAAGCTTGGTGTGTGTGTCTTAGTTGTGTTCTTTCTAGCTTAATGGGGATATTCATTTGATCGCAACTGTTGTGCTGCTCATGAATTTTTGTGAATTTTCGGATCCTTGTTCCGAAGGACACAGTGTTCACAAAGATTTGATTTGGGCTCACTGAACGACCTCTTCGTTTTTAGTTTTTAGTTCACTTTTTGTGGTTGAGATGTGGAGAGAACATGTTAGGGAAGGGGAGGCATAAAAAAGGATGACAAATGCGAGGCAAAGAAAGAAGAAAACAATATCGCACCTTCTAAGAGAGGTTGGTTGATTAAGGCCAAAGAATGAGAATTGGATGAAGAAACTAGTGTGTTGCGTCCGCTCTCCCGGTTACTTGGAGGGGCAATTGCTCGAGTCATTCCCAAATGTATTCAACTGATTAGATTTCCGGGCCTTCGGAGCGGCAAAAAATTTGGCAGCCTTCTGACATAGGACCGCATAGCAATGATAGCGTGGGCATTCAACTAACGAAAATTCAAATTCTTATGAGATGTAGGACTTGTTTGAGGAGTCCTTTCAAATGACTTAGAGCATTTTTAGAAAAAAATATTTTTGGATTCAAAAAGCACTTGAAGTGCTTCCTACAAGAAGCACTTGAAGTGCTTCCTACAAGAAGCACTAGCATTTCAAGTGCTTTTCCAATTATTCACTTGCATTTTTACAAAAAATTGATTTCAAAAACATTTTCTTCAAAAGAGTTTTCAGTCATTTAAAGATACTTCCCAAATAAGCCCGTACTCTTTGAGATTGGAAAGCTGCTTTTGTCTTTGTTACTAAAATAAGGTACAACCCAATGATACCCAAACGAAGAATTGCCAAAACCTTTTATGAAAGCAAACGCTTTGATCACAAATACAGAATTTAGTAATCTCATTTCCTTGTTAAATAATCCATGAAATTCAGTCGAAACAGAAAGGATCATGGCTGCTTTGGCTCGCGACATTCCGAGCATTAACCATCTTCATTTTCTGGCATGTTCAGAACTTTATGCCAACTTTCAGTTCGTGTGTATAGAGTCATTGCTGTTAGAAGTCAGGAATCTAAAAGGTCAACTTGATAATGTCTTCCAACTCTGAGCTCATGAACAATTTCATTCAAGTCCACAAGATTGCATCCGGGGATTCTTCTGAACTTCATTTCTTTCATCATCTTTTTTACCTGAGTAACATTCTCCCATTGACCTGACACGGCATAGACATTCAGCAGCAACCGATAGTAAGCAATGTTCTGAGGTTCCTTTTCAATGAGAGACTTTGCAATTTCTCCCAACTTCACATCGCCTTGGAAACGACATGATCCAAGCAGACTAGCCCATACCAAGGATTCTGGTGGCAAGTCCACAGCAACCTCTGGCATGTTCCTAATTATTCCCTCTGCCTCTTGTCTAAGCCCCACACTAGCAAAAGCATTAGCCATGCACCAATAGTGTGCAAAATTGGGCTTTACTTGGAAGACATTGATCATTTGGCTGAAGTAAACTCTGGCTTCTCTTACCAATCCAGAGCGGGCACAGGCACAAAGAACACCTATAAAAGTTACTTCATCTGGGATAATTCCTTCCCGATCTTCATCTGGTTTCGAACTCTCCTTCTCATGGATTGTTTCTCCATCTCTTGACTTTGTTCTACCCACCATTTCTCTATATAGGTTAAATCCATCTTCAGGATTTCCATGAATGCAATGCCCCAAAATCATTGCATTCCAACAAACCAGATTCCTATATGCCGTGCTCTCAAATGCCAAACGTGCCACTTGCACCCTTTCACATTTACAATACATATCGATCAAAGCTGTGTTGAGAAATATATTCCACTCCAAGAATGTCCTAATTAGACATCCATGAACTGACCTTCCTTCATTTAGTCTAGCAGACCGACCACAAGCCGCAAGCATATTCACCATGGTAGTTTCGTTCCCCTTCAATCCCATGCCCACCATTTTCCTAAACAACTTCAATGCACACTCTGGCTTCCCTCCCTTCCAGTACCCACCAAGCATAACATTCCAAGAAACCACATTTCTCTCAGGCATTTCATCAAACAACCTACGTGCAACCTCAATATCACCAATTCTAGCATTCCCATCAACAATTGCATTCCAAGACACCAAGTCCCTCTCAGGCATTTCATCAAACACCTTCCTGGCAAGCTCTAATTCCCCACAACGACAATACATATGAATTACTGAGTTCTGCACATGCAGCACAGAGTCCACCCCATACTTCACAACCTGCCATGGCATGTTCTCCCAGATTCAGCACAACCCATTTTCGCACACGACCCGAAAACCGGTACGAAAGTATAGCTGTTGGGAACAAACCCATTCCTCAGCCATTCCAAATACACCACCAAAGCTCGGCCCGGCGCCGAACTCAGTGAGTACGCCTTAATAACTGTATTAACGCAAAATCTACCAGGAGAATCAATGTAACCGAAAACCCATATCGTATAATCGAAATCGCCGAAATAGTAATAGCTATTGAGCAACTTCCGGGCCCAAAACGAATCGAAAAGGCCCCGGGTGATCAAATGGGCGTGGAGTTGGGTGATCTGGATCAAGCTCTGACACGAATCGAGAAGCGAAAATATGTGGCGGTTGACAGAGGGTTCGAACGAAGAGGAGGAAAATGGGGAGGATGGTAAGGAAAGATTGAATTTTGATGGGTTGGAAGCGAGGTGTGAGAAAATGGACCTCCGGAATCGAAAGAGTTCTCGGGTGCAAACCCTTGCCATTCAGTCGAGATATCGTACCAAACGAATAGTTTCGAATTCGAAGTCCAGTTGGTTTTCGCCATTAACGCACATTGAGATCCTCTCTTTAGTTGAAGTGCAGCAGCTCCCCCTCCCCGTAGAACGGCTCCTTTCCCTTGAGTAAATTCTAACAATGCTCCTCAATTTTAATCAAATTGCAGCAATAGTTTTTCAACTAAAAATTTATTATCATTGATCCTTTAATTTATCAAAATGTATAGTTATAATCATTTTCATCAATTTCGTTAAAATTTTGTCAAAATAAGTTATATTGAAATGATCATTAGTATAATTAAGATCCCTTAACTCATCAAAACGTGTAGCTATGGTCATTTTCATCAACTTGTCAGAATTTTGTCAAAACGAGTTATGTTGGAATGACTGTTGCTACAATTGGATTAAGGTTAAGAGATCATTACTCTAATTGATTTAAAGTTGAGGGACCATTCCTCTAGTTGAATTAAAGTTGAGTGACCTGGTGATGAAATTTTAGTTGAGGGACTATACATGCATGTTTTGATGAGTTGAGGGACCAATGGTAATGAATTTTTAATTCAGAGACCATTACTCTAATTAAGTTAAAGTTAAAGGATTATTGCTACAATTTACTTTCCTTGGAGGCAACGAGATTTATTTTATTAGACCAAAACGCAGCGTTGAATTAAAGTTGAGTGACCTGGTAATAGATTTTTAGTTGAGGAACCATACATGCATGTTTTGATGAGTTGAGGGATCAATGATAATGAATTTTTAATTAAAAAATCATTACTCTAATTAAGTTAAAGTTAAGAGATCATTGCTACAATTTACTTTTCTCAAAGGCTACGAGATTTATTTTATTAGACCAACACGCCGCGTTCTGAGTAATTGTGCACTTTCAATTTCATAAAACGGTGGAGAGAGAGACCCCAAACATAAAGTTAGAGAGAGAAATGAAATGGTGAGAGGAAGCATAAAGCTTCTTAAGGATGCTGGGTCTGGACTCAGCAAAACCCTAGCTGACATACTCGTCTGCCCACTTTCTAAGCAACCTCTAAGGTTCTGTTCTTTAACATTTAATTATTTTTAATCTCTGATGATTTATTTGTTTAATTTTATTTGGTAATTGCATCACTGGTTAAATTAATTTGTTTTTGGGTTTTTTTTTTTTTTTTTTTTTGTTGTTGTAGGTTTTGCGAGCAAACAAATTCCCTAATTAGTGATGCAATTGGTGTCTCCTTTCCTGTGAGTTTCAAATTCCAATCCTAAATTCATATGCCGCAATTAATTCAATTTTCTCTGAATTTTAATTTCTGGGCAGCTCGTATAAAGGCTGTATATTTGGTGTGAGGTCAAATTATGCAACATTAGAAATTAGTGAAAAATAAGATTTAGCCCATTATCTGTATGACAATTTGTGATGGCCTTTGTATATTATTGAGGTTTTGTGTTGGCCTCGGAGGTGCGCGAAGATAGGCTCGAGCTAAGATTTTACTGATGAGTGTTTATGGTTTTAACTTGACTGAGTGTGAGACCTACTGATCCAACAGAGATGAAAGTTAGTTATAGCGATTCGGGAGTTCAGTGTGGAAGGGCGAGAACATGAATGATTGTCAAAATTTTCGTCTTCTCTATATGTTTTTGCCTCTATAGCTGAGGTTGTATTAAGCTGAACGTGGATGATTGACATTGTGTAAAATTCCATCTTCTCCATATGTTTTTTGCCTGTATAGCTGACGTCTAATGTAGTTCCTTATTGTATTGATTACTCGATAGATAAAGGATGGGATACCTAGCTTAGTACCAACAGATGGCAAGACACTCGAGGCGGATGAGACAATAAAAACTGAAGATTCTGCAGAATCATCAGACAAGCATGAAGCAGATCGAATAGGCAGTCACTAGGTCGAATTGTGAAACTTATGGTATTGTCCCAAAGAGTTACTGTTGTGGGATTTATTGCAAATTTACTCGTTTGTTCCTCCTCTTGCTAATCTCTTTTAAGCCTTTTGTTGAACTGATTTGTTCATGCGTTGGCAGATGGGAGGTCACATCGTCAAGTGCTCTTAAAGCGGATTTTTATTCAATTTGTGAGGAATTGCCTGATAATTCATGTATGGCTTGTTACTCAGTACCTTTTGAATTATTGTGTGCTTTATTATCTGAGAGGAATTCTTCTAGAGAGGTTCTCTGAGATTTCTTCCGAGATGAAAATTATACTGAGTTGTCACAAATAAACGTTGAGCTGAATAAATTCATGCATCGCATCCATTTGCGGATGTATACTTTTACATTGATGTCTGGCATGCATTTTTGCCTGTCACTGAGTCTGTTAAAAGAGAGAAGGTTTTTTCTGTTGTCCAAGATTGTTTTTGGATGGCCTTTGCTTTTCGTTGAAACTTCGCAGTCTCGCATTTTGCCTAGAGTTTACCAGACCAATATCAATAGGAACAAGATTTGTGTTGGTTTCCGAAGGATAATTAGACTGTTAGCAGTTTATCTTCAATGTCACCTCATGGTCCTCACCTGCACCTCTTGCTTCAGGCTCACTGTCTTGACAATGTCCTTATTGCTTCCTCGTTCTACTATGTTTGTGCAAAAACAGATCATGCTTTAATCTGTTTATTGGTAAAAATTTAACTCTTGACCTTGCTTTTGTCGAAAAAGTTACCGCTTGATCAACTAGTCTGGTATGAGTTGGGTGCCCTATGGTAAGTCATCCACAGTGTTATTTTCACATCCAAGTTGCACAAAGTTTTGACATCAATTGACCTTCTACCGGCAAGTAGTTTGACCCAGGCATCTCATGGGTTGCAGAAAGTGAGAAGTTTCAATCTATTCGTTCAAAGAAGAGTAAATTGTAGCAATGGTCTCTTAACTAAAAATTCATTACCATTGGTCCCTCAACTTATCAAAATATGTAGCTATAGTCATTTTCATCAATTTCGTCAAATTTTTGTTAAAATAAGTTATGTTGGGATAACCTTTTAAATAATAAGGGTCTCTCAACTCATCAAAGTGTGTAATTATGATCATTTTCGTCAACTACATCAAAATTTTGTCAAAACGAGTTATGTTTGAAGGACCATTGCTACAATTGAGTTAAAGTTAATGGATCATTTCTCCAGTTGAATTAAAGTTGAGGGACTAATAGTAATGGGTTTTTAGTTGATGGACCATAGCTTCACGTTTTGATGAGTTAAGGGACCAATGGTAATAGATTTTTAGTTGAGGAATCATTGCTCCAATTGAGTTAAAGTTAAGGGATCATAACTACAATTTATTCTTTAAAGAAAATAGTTGGTTCTTTACATGAAAGGAGTCTTTTTTACAGACAAATTACAACATGACGTGTGAGTGTGTACAATTTTTTTTTATTTTATGTTTTTAACGAGTTACTTTTGCATATATGTCAGATTGTAATTTGTTGGTAACGAGATTTTTTTTTTTTACGTGTAACAAGCCAAACAGTGAATCAGTGAACAATAATAGGTCTTATAGACTAGTAGACAAGGAATAACAATTTTGAAGGAAAAAACCCAACTATTACTCTAATTGATTTTAATCAAATTAAGAAAGGTCAAGAGTACCACTCCCTTTAGGTGCAACGCAACTACCTTTGAGAAGGAACTTTAGAAATCGTTCCTTGATAAACAACCCTTGCAAGCCACGCAAAACAACTGAGGACCATCACTTTCACACTCCCTCCAACCTCAAACTCTATTAAACACCTTCCCCGAACGCTAATCCTTCACTAAACCAAATGGTTCTCAAAAGGGCAATCTCCTTGATCTCTAGTTTTTTCGGTCCAAGAGAGCACTCGGCGATCGTTAAGGAATCCCTGTGTTTGCACGAGGCGATCGGATCGGACGTTGGGACAAAGGTAAAGGAAGAGGGTTTGGCGGAGTCTCAAGCATTATCCAGCTTGAGTAAGGATGAGGTGTGTTGTGTGTGTTTGTCAAGATTGGTGGAAGGCGTGGACATAAGAGTTCTTCCATGCCTGCACGAGTTTCACAAGGCATGTGTGGAAAAGTGGTTCTATGCATGCCAGACGACGTGCCCGCTGTGCCGGTTTCCGGTGGGAGGAGTTGAGAAGTCTCAGGTGGTGGAGTTGCTGACTGAGGAGATTATGTTTTATTTTTCTTCTTTTCATATTTCTGGGTTCTAAAGATTGTGCGGATGTCGAAACAGAAACGCTGAACCATCTAGTCCATGCGGATTTCAAGCATGTAGAACTTCACTAGATAAAATGTTCATTTCTTCACCAAGTCCTTGTAAGAAAAAAAGAAACAGAGCCAAAAAGCAAATCATCGACATTTTGCACTACTTGGTCAGACCAATGTCCTTGTTTCCTGGTACGCAAGTTCGAATTCTTATCTTTGTAATATTAGATATGACAGTTTAAATCTTCATTACCGAATAATAGAACAATTTAGCATATCGCATTGTAAAAACGAAACAATAACAACATGCTGGCACATAACAAAAATGAAATAACATTCATAAGAAGCGTTCTCGCTTTCCTTGCATCCGATTTCGAATCGCCATCTCCATAATTTAGAGCAACTATTATTTTTTAGATTATCACATTTTTGAAAAAGAGAAATCAAACATTCAGGGCCGAAAAACGTTCTGGAACAAATATTATGTGAAGTTCCGGTCCAAGTTGAGCCCAGAAAAGAATTGGAAAGAAAGTAAACAAAGGCCCAATTAAAGCCCAGAAAAAATACAGGATATAATGACAAAAAAGTTCCGTTGCCGGGAATCGAACCCGGGTCTCCTGGGTGAAAGCCAGATATCCTAACCGCTGGACGACAACGGATTTGATGCTAGCGTATCCGTACTATATTTATATGAACAATACTCCTTAACAAGCATTGCCAAATGCACTGCCAATAGACAATAGCTTTTCTTTTCTCCATTTCAGTAGATTAACACCACAAACATTAATTAACTACTGTTAGGACATAATTTTTGACCTACTCATCATGCATCCATGTTGTATTTATTAATTGAGAAATCAAGGGTTCTGTCGTTCATATGTTAATCACTTGTAAACAAATTATAACATGTGAATTAATAACACTACATGACAGTATGACTGACACCTATACTTTTTACTTTTAACTGAGAGAAAAAAAATCTACAGTTGACAATTGTCTACTAAACACCATATTTTGATTCAAAGACCCCCGAAAAACATGACTACTAAAGAAGCACTTAGTTGTGAATAAATCCTTGATAGGACTCAAATCTCAGATTTGGGTCACAATATGGGTTAGGGTTTCTCGTTTTTGGTCAGAAGGGTTAGGGTTTCTCAAATGCATAAGATACTCAAAATCCAAATTTGATTAAGTATATATATAACTTAGAATTCACATATACGTTATTCACTTGATATGTTATTGATTGAGAAATCGAGAGTTTTGTCCTTGATATGTTATTCACTTGTATACAATTTCTAACGCGTGAATTAATAATGGTAAAGAAACACTTGATAGGAATACAAACATAGCTAGACCATATAGGACATATGATTAACAATTTTGAGTTACTAAATAAACACTTCCTTGTGAACAAATCCATGCTAAGACTCAAACCTCAGATTTGGATCAAAATATGGGTAGGGTTTTCTCTTCTTTGGTCAGAAGGGCTAGGGTTTCTCAAATGCATAAGAAACTCAAAATCGAAATTTGATTTTTATAAGGACATAACTTTTGCACATTATTATTTACAGTAACGGATTTAGTCAAATTAGTTCTGTTCTACCTCACACACTCAACTTCGAATCTTATCTTTCTTCCCATAATTTTAATGATTGTCTAAAAACATATATTATTATTTACTTAGCACTCATATATGGGTTTAAATAAAACCTTTTACTTGCTAATTGCCATTAATGGTTAGCCCCACATTGTCAACGATGCTCCTTTCGGGTCATCCTATATTCCTATTGGATCATGGCAACTTGGCAAAGTAACTCAATAACCAAGACAAGCCGAAGCCAAAATACAAACCGACAGCATAAGACATCAATGGCTGCCACCATAAGAGGAGCCATAAGAGGGAGTGAAACAAAACCTAGAGTTTGTACAAGTGACTTCCTCGGTAGGCTTGATTAAGATAAAGTGATCGGAAGGTTTAAAAAGCAATTGGCCCATATGCAGTCACTTCTATAATTCCACGCGGGAAAATGATCATCTCTAGATCTATTCCTCCTAATCCACCAAATTCGGAGATCTTGACCGTTAAAATTTAATCCAACAAATAAAATTATTATAACTTCTAAAATAAACCCTTGTTTGTAGCCGTTCGATCAAATTTTAACGATTCAGATCCCAAACTTGATGGATTAGGAGGAAAAGATCCTTCCATGAGAACGGAAAATAAATGGATTTTTTCTATAAAAGAAACACTTGGTTCTTTGCGCACAAAACTAGTTTCATATGTTTGCAGAAACTGTTATTTGTGTTATATATATATATATATTATAAGTCTCGTATTCTTAAATCACTGACAAAATATTTATGGTCAATTATTCTTAAATTCGATATTAAGAATTGAAGTTAGAACACTAAAGGTAGATTCATTTATTCTGATGACTTGTACTGTAATTTGTATGTACATAAAGAGAGAAAAAATTGCAATCACAAGTAAAGAAAACGATAGAGACAACAACCTTCATGTTGGGGAATTACTTATTTTTCCCCAGATACACAGGAGAGTCATTGTTATAATATTCTAAACGCTAAAACATCTACAGAAGGAAAAGGCACTCACCACCTTAATATTACCGCAAAACATTGATGCCCCCCACATTGGAACTACTACTATGAAGTCTTAACTCAAAAGGAAGACCTTCAAACCAGAAAGCAAGGCACTAAGATTTCTCAAAATGGAGCTGTTGATGTTCGATGAAGATTGTGCCTTTTGGGTTGTTGAGACGCTGCTGCAATTAACTGCATGTACATTTTCCCACCAAACAAACAGAAGTCAAAATCGCAGAAAAACATATAATTAATTTTTCTACAAGTAGAATTTTACTCGGTCTTAAAGTTCTCATCACCTGTTCTAGCTGTCCTTTGAGTCTTGCATTCTCTTCCATCAAATGTGCAACTTTTAGCTCCAACTCATTTGTGTAAGCCTGTTCATACCAACCAAAAATCAGGCAACAAACTAAAGCACCAAACTCAAAAGGATAATAAAACTACATAAACCTACAACCCATAAAAGGGATGTTCTAGCATACGCCAAGCATATTAGAATTTTCATAAAACTAAATAAGAACAAACAAAACCATAAAGACTTTACAAAACAAAAACAAAAGCCAAAGACTTGTTTTGTCACATAAAGACTTTAACACCCTAACGACTACGCTAACCCAAAGCAAAAGGGTAATCAAATGATAAATGGGATTATATGAAGAAAAATGTTAAAAAATCTGTTTTGTAGATCACATAGTGACGGTTGATGGTTAGATGAATTCTTTAATGACTTTATCATTAACTGTCGCATTATATGATTTAGAAAATATGGTTCCTGTTTTTCTTATTCCTTAAAAGAACCAATACTGGAGAGATACATTCCTGCTTTCTAGCCCTAGATCGAGCAGCAGAATCTCGGTTCTTGATCATACGCTTATGTCTTCGATCTCCACCGGAATTGCTGTGATCAGATTCAGTGAATGATCTCTTCCCAAAAGAAGGCAAGCCGAAGGAGGAAGTAGCCAAGCTCTCAAATGGGCAACCACTGAAAGAGTTAGAAACACTGCTAGAAATGTTATTATGGTTTGCCTGATGTTGATCAATGAAGCCGGAGCTCGGAGGCCTGAGGGAGTCAGAGGCATAAAAGAGCTGAAACTCTGAGCCAGGATTGTTCAGGCTGAGAAGAGTTGGGGCGGCTGGAGGAAGAGGAGAGGGAGGGCTTGCAGCGGCGGAGACCAAGGCGGCTGCTGCTGCTGGTGAGTCATGGGCAAAGGGTCTGGCAAGGAAGTCTTGAAGGGTCATATTTCTGAAGTTTGGGTGGTGGTGGCGGCCCTGGTGGGGCCCATTGGGGAGGTTAATTTGGAGGAGTGGTGAGGTGGAGGATGAGGATGAGGATCTGATTTGGGTGGTGGGATCAGTGAGAGAGGCAAGATTGAAGTCTTTCCAAACCTCTTCCATGGTTCTTTGTGGGGTTTGGAAGGAGGAGGGTTGTGAAAATGGCGATGGGGATGACGAGGAGGACCAGGATGAAGTACTGGTTGTGTTGTGGTTGGTTTGGTCACTACCTGTTGATGACAACATTGAAGAGAAGTGTTTGGAACTGTCAATGTATGTTTTGAATCTCTCTCCAGATTTCTCAGGGAAGAGTGGGGGAGTGACTTAAATTGTGAGCGATGGGTTGGGGGTTCTCTCTCTCTCTCTCCCTTTCCCTCCAGAGAGTACACTTTTATGTCAAATGACTCAATAGTTCTACTCCTATGGTAGCGTTCGGTAGTCGTATGGTTGTTTTGCAGCTCTTGTTATTGGAAAGGACAAAATTCTTGGAGATGCTTAATTGGGGAAGAGGATTACATCCTGAGCTCAGTACGGAGATTTTTCTGATCAGTTCATGCGAATCGTTTAAATTTAATTCAACAGTTTTAAACAACAATCTTTTTAAAATTATAATAATTACAATTGTTGGGTTGAATTTGAACGGTTTAGATGAGTTGGTCAGAAAGATCCCATCCTGAGTCTGGAGAGGATCCTCTTCCCTTAATTGGTATCTCCTAATCAAAAGAAAGACCTTTTATTTTTGGAGAACCAATAGAAAGACTTATTTGGTATGCGATATGAGCCTTTTCTTCACTCACTTCCTTTTTTTAACAAGTTAAAATCCTCTTCCCTTAATTGGTATCTCCTAATCAAAAGAAAGACCTTTTATTTTTGGATAACCAATAGAAAGACTTATTTGGTATGCGATATGAGCCTTTTTTTCACTCACTTCCTTTTTTTAACAAGTTAAAAGTGGTCGTGGTGTTCAGGGAACAAACTCCAGCCTTCTCAACTTATAGCTAAATAAAAAATGTCAACTTGGTAAAACATGACTTTAAGGGTAAGCATTTTTTCTCGGGCAAGTATGTTTTTAAGGGTAAGTATTTATGGGAAATGGTTTTTTTTCTTTTCGATAAATGATATTATATATATTAAAAGAGAAGATAATGGGCTAAGATTCACAATGTGATAGCAAGAAATGATCTTAGACTCTTCTAATATAAGTTCCACCACATATACAAGTCTAGCCTTATAGCTGATTAAGATCATTTACTATCTCGGTCATTAGAGTCTCCAATTCAATTTTATTTCTCTCTTAATATATCGCTTGTATAAAAAATAAAAAATAAAAAGTCTACATTCCCTTGATCAACCAAAAATACACCATTGTGATTATTGTGATTATAATATTCAACTAGATTATTTAAAACTAGTATCTTATAAATTTGTGAGTTTGTTACTGGGTGAATTTCATCTATGCTATATGAGTAATTAAGTGTTTGAGTTTTATTTTTCCATATGTGAGATGGAGAGATATTTATCTACAACCGAAGATATCACAATGAATTAATTTATGGCATGCATCATGTGTTGTAGACTAATGAGAACATACCACAAATAACGCATGAGAATCTCTCAATAAGATGAGAAATCAAATATTTTAGACCACTTATGGTTAGAAGTTCTGAGAGTGTATAAAATTTTACACCTCACTTAATTAATTAGATCTTTAGTATGAATTATCAAACAAACTAGGATATCCTAGATTCTTGAATCCATTTGTCTTTTAATTGTCATAATGAAATTTCAATGTTTCTTAAAACATAGTATTTGTTAATTTTTTTAAACTCAATTAGATGCCTTAAATATTTCTGTTTTAATTAATATTTTACAAAGTTAATCTATGATGTGCAACTTAAAAAATAAACGATTTAGATCGTTGAAGTTTAATGGTGTGAGCTCAACCAGTAATCTCCATCTTCTTTAAAAAAATGGAATCAAAGGTTCTTTGTGTGTGTGTGTGTGTGTGTGTGTATATCAAAAATCAAAAGTTTGATATTTGATCTGCATTACAGCCAGTGCCTGAGTGCCACCATTCAAGGAGTATGTCCACATATCTCTCTCTCTCACACACACATACACACAGAGTCACACGCATTTCACACTTGACATTGCTTCTTCTCACTTGTGATAATAATTTATTTACAAAGAGGTAACCACTTACCAGAATTGGACACCTGTTTTATTCATGGGATAATTTCCTGCATTTGCTGCTCACTTTTATTGGAGAAGGAAAACCTCATCTCTCTCATTTTCTCTCTCTGCAATTGTAGTTCTATTTGTCTCTGTGTGTCTGTCCAAGTCGAGATCCAAGTCATGGTGTAATATTTTCCTATGTGTCGAATTTTTGTGCGCCAAGTTGCTCATATCAGGAAAGAAGAAATTTCTCGAAATAAATGCACAAAATTCAGTGATCCATGATCATTCGTTGGAGTAGCTCAAGTCTGTGCGTAAATCGTATGCCATATGTTGAACTGTAATGTTCTCGTACCATATACAGTTATGTTGCTAGACAAAACATGAATTTAGGACGTGTTTACAAAACAGGAATGGAGTGAGTGGAAACATAATTGCATTCCTTCCAATGCATTCATATGTTTACTTGTATTTGGGGAATGAAAATAAAGATGGGATCCATCCAATATAAGGAATTCAATTCTGGATTTACCCGAAAACCGATTATCAAGATATAGCTGGTAATTGAATTCCGGAAGAAATGCTCCATCAGCAATCAAACTCTTCTTCCCATAACACCCCTACAACTTCTACACTCTTGCTATCTCTCTCTTTGTCGAATCTTGCAACTTTCAACACTCTCAAAAAATCCAAATGCAGACAGAAAATTCAGCAACAAAAGGAAACGGAAGTGACGGAGAAGAGAGTGGTACCAGAGAGGCCGAGGGAGATGAGTGGGTTCAGGTGAGAGACCCTTGAAAGATCCGAATTGGAGCTCGGGTTTACGAAGTCCCACGCTGCGGCGCAGGCTCCAACGCTCGCACGTTGCTGAAGAAGAAGCGGTAGGAACGATGATCTCTCCGGCTAGGATGAGGCTATGAGCCGTGGATTTTGGATAATGTCAATTTGGATGAGGACAGTGGGTCCTGGGTTAGTGGATAAGCACGAAAATTCCATTGAAAAAAATCAAAAAATGTTCACTCTTCCAAAAAAAATGAAAGAATAAAAGTTTTACTAAAAATAATTGGCATATAAAATAAGTTAATTGAACTAGGGGTATTTTAGTAATCATAATAGTTTTCATTCTGATTCATGTGAATTAATAAACAGTTTATATAGATTAATGTCAATCTTACTCTAATTCTAGACAATTTTAGTAAACAACTTCCAAAAGGAATTTGATTCTGATTCCATCTTATTTATATTTCTCCTCAGTTCAATTCCTCTTAATTTGATTACAGATTAATAAACGGACCCTTATTTCGGTCAAAAGTCCAGAAGATTCTTGATTAATGATTTTTCCTTGCAACCTAGGAGCTTCATCTAGAAAAAATTCTCCAATCTAAGAGCAAGTTCATCTGTTTTAAGAAATCAGGGCAAGACAGTGAAATTGTCTTTACTAATTATTTGAAACAATAATTGTTTTTGTGCAAGTCCATCCATTTACAAAGGACAATGACGATTGCTATTTACAAAGAGTAAATTTATACTTACCATATATTTTCATTTCATATTTGTAACATCTCTCTAATAGAAGTAGAGCCTACCAACACATGTGAGTTCCATCTCTATTAGACAGGTAGTACAAATATCGTACAAAAATATGGTAAGAGTAGCATTTTGAAACCCTTTTCCACACTCATTTTTCTCCTGTTGTTAGATATCATTTATAGTTTCTTGTCTTCTTCTTCTTCTTCTTCTTCTTTTTTTTTTTTTTTAGAATAAGAAAAAGACATCAAATTGATTTACATTTTCCAGTTTTATTTTTGTGGTATTGTTCCCAATAGTAGTCAACATGATGAGAGATTTTTCTATATACTTAGAACAGGGGTAGTATACCATGTGTCTCTATACAAGTGGTGAGATTCTTGTGCTTAAAAATTAATAACATCAAAAATAAAATTTCCACACTACATAATATCATGTGGTGTACCACTTGTGTTACAGGCATAAGGAAAAATGTCTCCAAGATGACACCCAAGCTAAAAAAAGGAAGAGGATCCGGTCCGGATCTCTTCCATCAAAGGCCCAGGATCAAGTGATTCAGACCGTTGAAATTTAATCAAAATGCTACAATTATTATTACTTTTAGAATGACCCCTTGTTTGTAGTTGTTGGATCAAATTTCAACGATCCAGATCACTTAATCTTGGGCTTTTAAGGGGAGAGACCTGGATCGGATCCTCTTCCGTAAAAAATTGGATGGAGAGCTACATTTAATTATTGTAACTGTGTAAAAAATGTGAGAGAATTTTAATTTGGTAATTGAAAACATCATTTTCAATATAATTATTGAGAACATAATCTTCTCAAGTTTTGATCTAAATAATCACTTTTGGACTTATCGTTTTTAGCGCAATAAGTGCTTTTACAGGACCAAAAAGTGTCTAAGTTTCAAACCTTATGAAAATGGACCAAGAATTAGACATTATTTATAAAATTTGATCAATAAGTAGACACTATTTATGAAACTGCTCTAATAAGTAGACACTATTTATTAAATGAAACCAAGAATTAGGCACTATTTCCAAAACTAAACCCATCGATGGAAACTATATGAAGCTGGACCAAGAACTAGACACTATTTATGAAAACTGAGAACTAGGACATTATTTATGAAACTGGACCAATAACTAGACACTATGTATGAAACATGACCTAGAACTATGCATTATTTATGAAAGTGGACCAATAAATACGCACTATTTATGAAATTAGACCAAGAAAGAAATACTATCTATGAAACTGTATCAATTACTATACACTATTTATGAAACTAGACCCATTAACTAAGCACTATTTATGAATCATGACCAAGAACTAGGCACTATTTGTGAAATTGGACTAATTAATAATGCAGTACCGTTCAGTTTCATAAATAGTATTCAGTTTTATAAACAATGTTTGTGATGGACCCATGGGTCTTGCGTGTTAGATCTTTTTTTTATTTTTTTATTTTTTAATTGTGTCATACATTAAAATTTAAGTTCTTTTGTCACTTTTATTAAACTTTGAGGGTTATTTTTACTAATATTTAT